TCGTATTGGATATTCATCAAACTTTTTGCACAAACTGTCACTACAATGCACGTCGCTTCGCTTAGAGGACTTGACCAAGAATGAAAGAATGAGAAAACTGACAAATGAGGTACTACCACTTTCATGCCAACCTAATACAATCTACAAATATATTATACTAATTATTAACAATCATTAGGAGTGTACTAACCCCATCATAGCCGTCCAACCATCTCTGCAGGTGGAAAGGAGTGTCATGCTCTGGGCTGAGATCGTTTGATAAAGCTGTCCGAAGAGCTTCCTCGCCAGTCATGCTGCTCTTCGAAGTGGACCCTACTTAATCATAAATTCTCGCAAAGAAAGAATTTGAAAAAACAGAAATCGGCGGAGGATAGACAAAAAGCATAGCTTATAATATTCAATGGCACTCTCGTAAAGTTATAGATATCCAGCGTTGTTAGAATGAAGCAAGGCAAACAGATAAATAGGTATTATTAGAGTTGAGCAGATTTTTGCCAAGTTTATATACGACGCTGCTCACAAAATTTCCTTCCCCAACGACTAATTGCACTTGATTTTAATGTTAGAGTAAGCCATCTACTGCAAATTTTCGATTTCAGTACAGCAAATTAACAAAGGCTGCCTCCAAGAAGTGAATGACCAGGAATAAAGAAGAATTGATAACGCATAATCTGGGATGAGGTAAAACGGGCCAACAATTTCAATTATAAGAAAGGACAACAATTTTGCACAGTTTTGCTGCAGCTTATGTAATCACCTCAATCTAGCAAATAAGTCTGTTGTTTTTCTCTGAATCTTGGCTTTCTTACTCTAAAGTATACGGTTTTAGAAAATTTGCAACACGGTGTTTTCGTCATTAATCAAAACTTTTGGAATGCTTTCCAAAGTTGCAGTAATTACTAACCAAGTTGATTATTTCATGCGCTTCAGCGCTTTATAGGTGCCAAGGTTGCCGCTTCTTGCTGTTTACTGAGCCTTTTTCGTGCAGTGACGTTCGTTCAAAGGCTTTCAAATATACGAAAATCTCAATGCATAGCTAGCTCATATTCTCAAAACATCCCGAAAACTACATGACGTTGCAGTGAGATTAAAAAAAGTTCAAGCTTCTAGAGGACTGATTTTTGGAGTCATGCATTGTAGAGGTGGATGCCCTAAAGCGAAAGCATTTGCCAAGAATATCATCGTTAGTCAAGAACAAAGTCAGAGGTTCGAGGACCGATTATGTTCGGTATCAAAGAGATCATAGGTTTAGTATGGACGCTTAGGAATTTACGATGAGTCAGAAACATGATATGACAATAAGGATGGAAATGATCCTTTTCTAAGCATTATAAATGTGGCAAAGAACATTTAGACTCAAGAACAAGTAGACATTC